GCTGGATGTTTCTGGGTTTGTTTGTTTTTAACAACATCAATAGAAACTCTAAATTGTCTCTAGTTGTGAGTGAGACAGTGAATGGTTGTTTGTCTCGTTTGTCTCTATGTGTCCCTGTGATGGACTGGACACCTGTCCAGGGTGTCCCCGCTTCTTGCACAGTGATGTTGTACATGGGCACCAGTGACCCCTGCGACCTAAAAAGGAAGAAATGGGTAAAGATAATGGATGGATGGTTGGATGGATGGAAAATCACTGTAATGCCTCTTTAGTTGGAGATTTGACACTTTATCTATGCTGCTGATTTCCTTACCCTTAAGCTGCTGTATTGATACCCAACTTCTCACAACAGACTCATGTTCAGGCTGCTGTTTAATACACCCTTTATTATATTATTAACGTTTAGCGTAAATCTTAAATCCTTGTATACTGTTTCTTTTTTTATACTTTTACTATTTTTAGGTGTAACTAGGATCTTGAGTGCACAATTTCATTCCACCTCATGTACCATGTGATGCGAATGACAATAAAGTCACCTTGAACCTTTGAAGTAACCAAACATCAAAATGGAAGAAAATGTGTTATTTGGTGAATCAGATTTACTCTAACCTACCATTTTAACGTCTACTCACACAATATTTACATGAACGCTCCTGCAAGCACCCTGCAGATGTTGGACATTTTCTGTCACGGTGCACTAAGATTTATAACTGGCTGTAACAACCATGCCCACCATTGTACTCTGTATTCACTGGTTAACTGGTCATCATTAACTTCACGCAGACTCTCTCACTGGTACATTTTCATCTTTAAATCACTTCTTGGTCTGCTGCCTTCATACATCTCCTCCTACATGTCTCTGCGTGAGTGCAGCTACAGCGTGCGCTCTCAGGACATTATTACCTGCAGTGTTCCCTCAGTGTAGACTGAACTTGGCAAAAGGGCCTTCTCCTACTCCGCTCCTGTTTCCTGGAACATCTTGCAAAAAGATCTGAAGCTCTCAACCTTAACCTCGCTAAAGGATTTTAGACAACTGTTAAGTTCATGGCAAAAAATAACACAGACATGCTCCTGGTTTTAGTATTTAACATCGCTTTATAATGTAGCTGCTTTTGTTTCATTTTTGTATATAATTTATTTTATTTACTTTTCATTTTACCTATATGTTTTTACGATTGTCTGTTGTTGTGTGTACCTCATCGTTCTTTGTCTAAAACAGGTCTCTCTCGTAAATGAGTCCTCGAGGCTCAATGAGACTAACCTGTATAAATAAAGGTTGAATGAATGTTACACTATGAGGACAAGGGGTCCTCAAATTCTATATTTAAATGTCCAAATCTGATATCTAGATAAAGTTAGAGGTACAGCACAACTAGGAATAAGCAAATCATTTTTATTAAATCTGTTTACAACTTACAGCCTAATAAAAGTTAATAAAAGTTGTACTGTTTGCCTACAATTAATTGGCTGTGAACATAAGCTGTGTTAGCGTATGACAGGCCTACTGCACCCTGTTGTTTTGTAAATAAATAAATAACTTGACTAATTTAATTAATTTTTATGCTTAAACTAAATAAAATGCCTTTGTTTTCACACATGAAAGTACACAATAAAGGTATAGAGATTAAAGGCTGCAAGACCATGTAATCCTAGGTAAAAGTTACAGATACCCTAACAGTTGAAATAATAGTAGCCTAGTGTGAAAAATGGCTCTGTCTGCCTTTAATGAGCTTCCTAAACCTAAAATATTTTGTTGTCAGATGAAGTAACAATTCATTTGTCAAGCAGGCGCAGTATGAACTTTTTAAGTTTATTGATGAGAATGCAATCACACAGAAATGTGGTGAGGACAAAATAAATACATATTTCTTTGCTCACTCCTCTTTGTTAACCTGTTTTTCTAAGCCTATCTTTTGTTTCTTTGCACATTTAGACAGTGCTACGGCTATGTGACATAACACCTTCTTCTCTGCTGCTTTAGTTTCAGATCATGACACTGACAGAAGCTGAAGCTGCACACCTCTCTGACTGCAAAAGTGATACAAATCGAGCCAATGTGCACATGATATGGGTGGGAGTGGGCAACAAAATAATATGCATGAACTACAATACAGTTCTTCAAGCCATAAATACAAAATTAAGCCACGACAGTGTTGGTTGCTCAAAACAATGTCAATCATCCCATTGGTATAAGCACCCAGAATTCAGTGAAACTACAAAGGAAGATATTTATATTTTTTGACATTTGGAGTTGCCAACTCGTTTCCAACAGTTGCAGCAGACAAGTTAATTTTGTTAGCATTAATCAACACAAATGAAGAAAATACAAAATTTATTGTGGTGTTCCTCAGGGGTTAATTTTAGGTCAGACCGTTTTTAACCTTTAGGTGCTTCATATTAGAGACACCATCAGGAAACGTAGCATTAATTTTAACAGCTTTATGTTGCGGTGTCTCCTGATGATACAAACCCAATTCACAATTTTTATAACTCTATTTTATACATCAAGCTATGGCAAATAGTTTACAGCTCAGGAGAAAACCAACATTTTTATAATCATTACTGAAGCTCAGAGTGAAAAACCTAAAGTAAAGCCCTGGGAATGAATCCTGGTAGTGAAGCAAAGATTTGGGAAACACATTTGATTCTGACCTCAGGTTTAGGACCTATTTCAAGTCAATTGTTAAAAACTGAATTTATCAAAAGCATTTCCACAGTTCTATACGTTTTTCTCTTGAGCCAACAGACAATACCTCATGCTTTTATTACCCACAGATTGAATCATTGTAATGCTCTTCATTCTGGTGTAAGAGAAAAAGGACAAGGTTAGAATTACTCCAATATTCAGCTGCATGTTTGTTAACAAAACAAGGAAAAGCATAATGTGTCACACTTATATTAAAACATGGCTACCAGTTGCATTTAGGATTCATTTTAAGATCCTTCTGCTTATTTTTTGATGCTTTTAATGGTCTTGTTTTTTTTTAAGAAATGTTTGCACTTTATGAACCCTCTAAGACCCTCAGGTCTTCTGGAACCAGATGGTTAATTATGGTTAAGAGTTAATTATGGATGGTTAATGACATGTGAACTAAAACATATGGAGAGGTGTCAATTTATCATTCACTTTTTCAGAGTTTGTTTTAAAGTCTAATTACCTTAAAGCACTTAAAAATTTTAATTAATAGGTTACCCATTAGTTTTCCAGATATACTGATATGCAATTCTGAAATGCAAGTTCACACTTCGTATAAACAAATAAGTCGACTAAATTTGCAGAAAACCAAGTGGAAGCTTGAGTCACGTGATTGAGGTATGTTAGGCTGGATGTATGGCAGAATTAGACGAGCCTAGGACCTCAGAAAAGAAACTTATGTGGAAATATGCATGAATTTGATGCTAATGGTTAAAAAAATAAAGAATAAGTGAGACAGGCAGCTGCTAAAAATGAATATCAGGGCTCAAACAGGGCACTGGGATGTCAGAGCTTGGTGTGTTCAAATGTGGCTTTTCTAGACTGTTATGTTCCTCGTTTCAACCTAATCCATTTTTTCAAATCTGCATAATTAACTCAATAAATCTCAACGTACTTATCAGTAAACTGAAATTGTTGGACTTCTCTATCCCAACAGGCTCTTTCAAGAACATTTGCATTGTTGACCTGTTTCCAGTCTCTTTGGCTGTTTCTATAGATTAACAAACACAAGCAGTGTTCACAAATTTATATTTGTATAATATTTATAATATTTATATTTAAGGACATTAAGATAAGAAGAACATTAATTGTGTTTCCTAAATTGTGACTTTTTTTTTTACATATCTTTATGGCATTGCAACATGAAGTACCCTTAAGATATTACCTCTAAACAAAAATCACCACGTTTGGTCTTGACCATAAAATCCAGAATTTCAGCAGATGAGTGACATTAATCTGACAACTATTAAACATATCTCTTTAGTAGAAAAAAATTCACATTCCACACATTTGGAGAAAACTGGTGATAAATTAATGATGAGAATTTGCTATCTGATACAATTTTTCCAGAGTTTACATTATTAATTTTTAAATCTAAAAAATGGACAGATGGATGGATGGATAGATCGATAGATAAAATCTAAAGCTTTGATGGATGGATGGATGGATGGATGGATGGATGATGATTGGATGGATTGATGGACAGATGGATAAAATCTAAAATTTGGATGGATGATTGGATGGATGAATGGCTGGATAATGGATGGATGGATAAAATCTAAAATATGGATGATGGGTTGGATGATTATTGGGTGGATGGATGAATTAATGGATGGATAGATGGACAGATGGATGATTGGCTATTATCCAATCATCCATCCATTCAGTCATTCATTCATCTATTCATCTAATCATGATTAGATGGATAGATGAATGGATGATTGGATGGATGGATGGATGGATGGATAAAATCTAAAACTTGGATGATGACTGGCTGATGATTGGATGGATGGATGGACAGATAGATGATGTATAAAATCTAAAACTTGGATGGATGAATGGATGGATGGATGGATGGATAGATGATGGCTAAAATCTAAAACATGGATGGATGGTGGATGGATGATGGGATGATAATTGGATGGATGGATGACTGGATGATGATTAGATGGATGGATGGATGATGGATATATAAATGGACGGATTGATGGATTGATAGATGGATGGATGGATGATTGGATGGATAATTGGATAATGGATGGAAGGGTGGACGATGGATGAAATAAATTAATTCGGCAGATAACAGCTGCAATAACCACACCAACAAAAATCTGAAAACTTTCCAGATTATCAGCGGCTGTTAGGATTATGGAGTTTTTAATAATTATGACCCGTTTAATTCTGTTTCATTGTAACTTTAAATTCTCCTTGTAGGAGATAGGTCTCGTGCACCTCCTACTCTCTCCTCCTCCTCCTCCTCACTCCCTGTTATAACTGCTTTATTCGGCTCGCGCTCTCCACTCGTGCGGTTGCCAGCACGAAGAGGCGCGTGCAGCTTTTACAGTAGAGCGGCTCGGGAATCCTCCCCGCCATTTCCTCGTGCAGCCGAGCCCTGGAATGTCGAATAGTGGCTCGAGCTCTTCCTCGCGGAAGGAGTTCGACGTGAAGCAGATCCTCAGGATCCGATGGCGGTGGTTCGGTCACCCCGCGGTACCTCCGCCTCACTCCCAGCCGCCACTCGGGAACTACTTCAGCGCGAGGAGGACGGGAGGCGGCTCCGCCGACGGACCCTCGGTTAGCTGCAACTTCACCTCCGCCGGCGTGAACGCCCCGGGAGGAGGCGCGGGGAGCCGCGGCGGGCTGGTGGCCAGCGGCAGCGCCGGGTCTAACCTGTGCGGCGGCAGCCGAAAGTTTGCAGAGCCCGGGGCAAGTCGGGGCGGTCACGGAGGAGCGGCGGTTGGAGCCACGGGGAACTCCTGCACCCGCTCCGTCAGCCAGCCCGAGTGCAGGAGCTCCGCGGGGCTCTCCTGGGTGTCCCCGCCGCCTCGTCGCCGCTCTCGCCCGGTGACAAACAACATGGAGCCCCCAGGTGAGGCCCCAGCGGCGGAGCCCTCGACTCGCGCCGGGGCTCCGGAGGAGGTGGAGGCGGCGGCGGGCGCCGAGGAGAACAACCATCCGGAAACAGACTCCAGCTCGTGCAGGTAGGATGGAGACCGCTGCTCCGTCATTAGCAGCAGATTAAGAGTCTCATGCTTCAAGTTGACTCAAAAGTTTTGCTACACATTTTCTCAACTAATGTTATAGTTCCACCACCGTGTGTAACTTTTACTCTTCTCTCGTCATCAAAGGCACAATAAGGATTGAGATAAATTAAAGGTTTGTCTTAATCTATAGCTGCTAAAACAAACTGGGAAAGATAAAATCTGATGGCTGACTGGTTTAGGGTGAGGTGTACAAGTAGAAAAACATTTTTTATACATGACATTGCAGTTAAATATGCATCTCAACATGCTGCACATTAAATGCATGGTTTGTTTTCACTGTGAAGCCTTTATGCATATCATGCACACACACAACATGGTGTGTGTATCCAGCTGCAGCAGAGGCCTTGGACACAGAAAAATGAAACAATTACTATTACCTGCACATGTTCACATGTAACTGTTTTTACTATAACCTGGCAGTAAATACCACTATGTAAAGAGATAAATATAGCTTGTTTTATTTTCTGCATGTTTACCATATGAGCAACATATAATTTATATCCCAAAACATCAGATTTCAATGATGAACAAACACTGATATGCCTTTATATATATACTGTTTATATTATTTTCTTAATTAGTGTGTTATGTTCTAAGCCAGTTTGTTGTCATTAGTAATGTTTTTGTCAGAGTAAAAAAAGAGAAAGTACACAACTGTGATTTTCATTGTTATGCAAGGCTTGTTGTCTTCTCCTTAGCGTTCATCACAGATGTCTGGCAGAGCTTCAAGAACAAATGGCTTCACACATGTGCACACATCTCACTGGTACAGACTGTGGTTTCAGTGGATTTCACTGTACGTCCATGCAGCCACCTCCCTGCATGCTTTATTGTTGCCATACCAACGTAGATATTAGTTTGCGCTGCATATATGTGCGGCTACAAGCATGTTTTTTTTGTCTTTCTGCATTTGACTTATCCTGTCCCTCAGAGAGCATCTGTGTATGCTGTGATACTCCAAGAACCCGGGTGGCAGAGTCCCTAATGGGAAAAGATGCACGCAGAATCCCAGAATGTCTGAAGTCTCTGCGGGGCTCAGTCCACTCATCTCCTCACTGAGCTTTTTCCCCCCATTTAATTCTGGTGTGCCTCATTTATTTACTCTCTCCCTCTCCTGTCCTGCTCTACCCACTCCCAGGCATTTAGTTGCCCTTTCCTTTTATTTTCTTATATAATGTAGAATGGAGGGAGGAAGAGGAAGAGGCTGAATGACAGCTGAGTGAGTGTCCTTGCCCGGTGTACGGCTTTAAGGAAATTTGGCTGGACGGTGACTCTTTTTGTCTCTCCCTGTCAATGTTGAGTGGTTGCCAGGCTCGGCTAAAGGGACTGGAAGGCAGCGTTCTCCCACTTCAAAGCCATTCCCTCTGGCAGTATTTAGCCACACCATTCATCTGCATACACACTTGTAAAAACACATGCACACAGGCTTGCACAGTCGAGGGCAAGAAATTGAGCCAAAAAGCATCCTCAGTGGGTTATATCTGTGTATGGAAGAGAGGAAATGGATGGATGGATGATGACATGAGTTGGAATGAAGAGGGTGAATGATGAGATTAGCTGGAGATGTAAAACCAGAGGCAGGAGACATTTAGAGGAGATGGTGGCAGAGTAAATATGACTCCTGCTGTTGCAGTTCAGCAGTCAGCATGAGGCAAAAATGCACAAAATGGTGCACACCACATGCACAGTTTTTTTTTTTTTTGATACAAAGCTATGGTATTGAGCCTCATTGATTTTAATAACGACTTGTGTCTTTTCTTACTAAAAAATGCAATATATACACATCCCTTTGTGCAATTTCAGCTACAAAACAAGTTGAGCAACCAGACATAGAGATGAAAAAACAAATGACATTGCACATGTTGAAAGGTCATGTGACGGATAACAGACTTGGCAGTACGTGCAAGCTGCTAGTCCCATATTGGTAGGGTGTGGCAAATCGACTCATGTATGTTGCAGCTGGCTCTCAAAATCTGAAGTTAAAATAGAATAGAATAGAATAGAATAGAATTCAACTTTATTGTCATTGCACATGTCACAGGTACAAAGCAACGAAATGCAGTTTGCATCTATCCGGAAGTGCTTAGCAAGAAAAATAAATTGGTAGATATATATAGTACAATATACAGTAAGTTGCTTTGAATATGCTATAGGTATAAATATATACAGGTTGTGAGTGTACAGACTATGAACAGGTTATAATATGAAGGGGTATAAACAGCTATATGAAAGAAAAAAAAAAATATATATATAAGTATGTGAGTACTTATGAACAGTAGATAGTAGATTATGTGTACAGTTTGTACAGTAGTGGGCTAACGGATGAAAGTGCAGGTGGTGGTGTTACAGTCCATGTGTAAAGATTGGGGAAACTGGCTGGCTATAGGACACAGGGAGGCCATGGATATGCTTGTTTAAAGATTGACCAGGTTGCTGTTTCAGAAGGTGTGAAACAGGATATTACTGACGTAGCACTGTGTTGTCAGAGTCCTCTGAATCTGTACCAGAGGTGACCTGAAGCCATACCCCATGGTTCCCCTTGATGCCAGAAGCGATGCCAGTCTGTCTCGCTACAGATTGGACAGGATTAGTTAGTCTCCTCTCCCCACAACTGTATGTATTTGGCCCATCTATGGTGATGCAGAATTAAGTTTTATTACTGAACATGAAACCGTGCCACCCATTTGTTATGCACCCCTTGAAATATTTTTGTTTTTGCTCTGGTGTTATTAGCAGTCCAGTGTTTCCCCTACTGTTCTCGATGGAGGGCGCCCCGCCCTGTCAATAGAACCAAGCGCCCTGCACTGACGTGGTGCTAAGTTATAGGCGCGCAATACAGACAACTGCAGGCACTAGCATAGTGCTAAACTAACACACAAAGACATTTCTCTGTCTCTACCAACCCCCACACCACCCCCATCCTCGTCAATAAAAATCCATGAAGAGATGAGTGCCTTGCCAAGGCTAGTGACCTAGGGGAAACACTGCAGTCTATGTGTGGGACAGTGAACCAGAGACAGAATGCAGGATGACTCACCCCGTTGTAAAATTGCGCCTCTCAAGGTGGCTGCATGTTGGAGCAGCTCTGTTACTTTCATTCTGAGATTTTGCTTTTGGAAACTTTAATTCCTCTTTTTCTGGATGTAAATCACATTTTTTGGATGGTTGTTTCCTCTGGTATCAGATGCTGTGCAGCTGGAGGAATTTTTACTGAAACTTTTTTAGTTTTGGACATTTGTTATGATGCGTAACCATGGCAACAAGGCAGTTTTCTACAACCAACAGCAGCTGATTAACATCTGAAAAGCTCAAATAATATCTCAACTACAGCCCCAAATCTCAAATGAGTTGAAAAGGATGTTCTGTGGATGCATTCTCATCTACCTGCCAGCTGTGCTCGAGTCCATGACCACTGAGATCCTGGAACTAGCAGGAAACATGGCTTATGACAGCGGAAGGACAGGATCGTCCCTCGGCACCTACAGTTGGCTGTCCGCAGCGTCGAGGAGCTCAGCAGACTGCTGGGAGGAGTGACCATCGCTCTGGGAGGAGTTCTGCCCAGCATTCAGGCGGTCCTACAGCCCGAGGGGAACCAAGAGGCCAGCCGAGTCTGGGTGAATGGATCAGACGGCATCTGCAGCCAGTTTCTTAGGATCCACTGTGGGATGGACCTTTACAAGAGATCCTTCCTACAGCCATCATCATCTATAACGTCTCTTAATGAAATGAGGATAACGAGTTACAGCAATATTTAATTTCCCTTTGGGATTAATAAAATATTTTTGAATTGAATTGAATTGAAAATGTCCAATGGCAGGGGCAGGTGTGATTGGGTTCTGAAATGCTTGGCACACAATGCGAGCGTCTTCTCTGGATGGGTCTGTCAGGAGTGGCCAGAAGCTTCACAATGTCTGTGGATGCTCCATGTACCCATTGGTTCCAACATCTGTACACTCCACATGCCATGCAGTTGTGCAATTCAACTTCTGCTGACGTTCACTAACTGTTTTGAGAAGCTGTCATTTGCTCTGGCAACTACCTGATAATACTTTCATTCTGCTTGTGATGCCACCTTTTTGGCCTTTGGCGCCTGTTCTAAACACGTTTCATTTCAAACCCATCACTTGTCAACATGTGGAGTTAAATCAGTTCATACCTTCTGCGTTCTTATTTTTTTGTTATTAAGTAGATAGACTCTGATTCTCCACACTTCTCCACCAGTGCTAGAAACTGAGCATTCCTAAAGCTGGAACCTCTTACATCAGGTATTCTTGAGGAGATCCCTCTTAAAGCCGGTACAAAATCAACAATCTTGTTTACTGAAAGCAAGATTAATGATTGAAGGTTAAAACAGTGCAATAAAACATTTATGTTTTTAATAGTTATAGTATTTGTCTAATTGCAAATCAAGTCTCAAAAAGCACCAGTGCCTGCTCCAAAGTGGGCATCTTCTTCCCAACATTGTTGATTAAAAAAAAAAGGTCTAGTTTTATTAACAAGTTGCTAAGTTTTGTGCTGAGCCGGTGGTTGGAGTTAGTGGGGAGGAAGGTTGTACTGAAAGCGGCTGTCTCCTGTAGCTGGAATAAAAAGCTGAATAAAATTACTAAACACAGACAAAACAGGGCTGTCAGGTTTATTGAATCAATGCAACTAATTTATCTCACAGTGCAAGAAGTAATTTGATCAGTTTGATTATATAAACCCGTAGCTGCTGTAAACCTGACAATTCATAAGGAAAAACTGCACATGTGGTTTAATTGGAGAAAAAAGCATCTAATGATTGCAGAGATATTAAAACAAATACCTTTATCGATAAAATAGGAAAATAATTTACACTAGTGAACAATAAATGTGTCAATTTAGTAATAAGAACAACTTGACTGCAACTTGAAATAAGTCACTCTTTAGACTGATGATACCGTTTTAGTTCACTCTGTGTTTGCATTTTGTCATATTTTGCATGCACTGTGGATTAAGCGGCTTTGTTTCCCCAGTTTTAGCCTTCCAGGGTTTATGTTTTTGTTATGAGTTATCGGTTTACTTGAGAAAGAACTATCATCCTTGAAATGTGGGTACAGTATAGTGTTTTGTTTCTTGTTTCTTCTGTTGAATAAAAACTTGAAATGAAGCTTTAGCTTTTCTAACTAATTATCACATAATAGCCATTTTTAATTTTTTTTTTATTGTTGTAAAATTGCGCCGCTCAAGGTGGCTGCATGTTGGAGCAGCTCTGTTACTTTCATTCTGAGATTTTGCTTTAGGAAACTTTAATTCCTCTTTTTCTGGATGTAAATCACATTTTTTGGATGATTGTTTCCTCTGGTATCAGATGCTGTGCAGCTGGAAGGATTTTTACTGAAACTTTTTTTAGTTTTGGACATTTGTTATGATGTGTATCCATGGCAACAAGGCAGTTTTCTACAACCAACAGCAGCTGATTAACATTTCAAAAGCTCAAATATTATCCCAACTACAGCCCCAAATCTCAAATGAGTTGAAAGGATGTTCTGTGGAGGCATTCTCATCTACCTGCCAGCTGTGCTCGAGTGTCTGACCACTGAGATCCTGAAACTAGCAGGAAACACGGCTCATGACAGCTGAAGGACAGGATCGTCCCTCGGCACCTGTAGTTGGCTGTCCACAGCAACGAGGAGCTCGGCAGACTGCTGGGAGGAGTTCTGCCCGGCATTCGGGCGGTCCTACAGCCCCGGGGAACCGAGAGGCCAGCTGAGTCTGGGTGGACGGATTGGACGACATCTGCAGCCAGTTTCTTAGGATCCACTGTGGGATGGACCTTTACAAGAGATCCTTCCTGTCTACAACCATCAGCATCTATAACATCTCTTAATGAAATGAGGATAATGAGTTACAACAACAAATAATTTCCCTTTGGGATTAATAAAGTATTTTTGAATTGAATTGAAATGAATATTTCTTGTTACACAGACTCATGTCTTGTTAGCTTTTGACTTCAAAAAGGGCATAATAGGGTATTTTTTCAATTAAAGCTGGCTTGAAAAGCCTGTTTCCTTTCCTTTTGCCAGTGGAGACGTATTAAAACTGATGGAGTAAATTGCTATGTGTCCTATGGGCTCAGCTCCCACAGTGATTTAATTGGCACATTCCTTTTTTTTAAGTGCGCTGAATTTATCTGGCCATTTACTTCAAGTAATTGGACCATTAGCGAGCTTTTGTATGCTCCGGGCAACATACAGTCACCCTGTTAAAACAGTAACGGAGAGTTAAGTACACGTGAGGAAATGATGTAAGGGAAAAGACTGTACCATGGAAGATACCAACATACTGGAACAAAGAAGAGTAGTCACTATTTTTTCAGCTTTCTCTCTTTGTGTTCCTCCTAACCCTTTTTGTGTGTGTTTGGCCACAGGACATCTAACAGCAGTGTGACCCTGTCCTCATGTGTGTCGATGGAGCCGTGCACGTGTCCAGAGGAGTCCATGTTCACCGCTTTGTCCCACGCTGACGTTACCTTCCGTAAGATGGAGGGCTACCTGAGGACCAGACAGCTGTGTGACGTCATACTAGTAGCTGGAGACAGAAGGATACCTGCGCACAGGTAGATGCACTCTACGTAAAGATGTGTAAACAATGGAGCAAAATCACAGCATTTCTTCTTTTTGTTTTTAGCCTTTTTTACGACATAAAAACCTGAACAAACATCACCTCTGATCATCTTTACGCAAACATGGACACACCGTCCTGTTCATGAGAAGTTCCTTTTTGTTGTGCTACTACATTTAACATTGTCAGCAGAGTTTCTGTCATCCATCAGTCACTGGACACACACAAACACACACACACACATGCACATGTGCCTGCTGTCCACCTTGTAGTTCCCCTATCCTGCTTTGTGTCTGCTGTGTTGTGGGCATGTGGCTGCTGGTGTATCAGCGGGGGCAAACTGCACACAAACATAAACATAAACAACGGTTCTTCACCAGCAGAAATGGTGACGAAGTGCAGAAAGTGCATTTCAAAGGCAAAACACAATTCTAATGCATCTTTTTAAGTATATTCACAAGTGGAAAGCATGTAAGATGTTGCCAACCTTCCCATATGTGGACGTCTGAGAAAGTTCACCCTGAGTTCAGACCATGCAGCTCTTTGAAAATTAATAAAAAAACAGCCCAAGAGCTGAATCTCAGACTCCACATGCTTCATTTAGGATATTAAAAATCGATGGTTGCATAATTGGTAAAAGACTGAGCAACGAGTAATGTTGCTGGGTGAGAGCAAGAAAAAAAAAAAAACATGACAGCATGAAGAAGGTTTGCAAAATTAAATTTGAACAAACCACAAGACATGTACAATAGTATCTGAACAGGCAATAGCAGAGGGAGATGTGGAGCTATAATGCACAGTGCAAAGAAAAATAAGCAGTATCAGAAACAAAAACAACACCAGACCAACTATCAAGCACGGCGGTGGAGGGTTGATGATTTGTGCTCCTGTTGAGTCAACCATGAACTCTTTATATTAAAGTATGCTTGAGTCAAGTGCAAAGATCTTACAGCTGAAGCTTGGTCAAAATTACACTATGATTTCAAAAACACCACGAATGTACAAAAAATGACTGAAATTTAAATTAATGAAAGAATCAACGGGTTGAAAAAGCCGAGTTGCTGAAATACTAATAAAATCATGCAAAAACTAATCTCAACCAGAGAAATGTCATTTCCCATGCAGTGTGAATAATTACTGCTGAATGACTGTTGCTGAAAGCTGCTGAAGAAGTTGGAACCAGGCTGTAAAAGTTTTGTCGCTGAACTGTTGATATGAGCTGAATTTGAACAGCTGACATTTAAAAGCAGAAATAAGTAGAAAAACAACAGAAATGTGTAGAAAAAGCTGAAATTAGCTAAGAAAGTAGCTAAAAAAAAGCTGAATTTAATAGAAAGAAGCTGAGAGGACCATAAAAAGTTGAAATTGTTAGAAAGGTGGAAGTTTTAAAATAAAAATCTTCTTTCGGCTTTTCCCTCTTCAGGGGTCGCCACAGCGAGTCATCCGTCTCCATCTCACTCTATACTGCTCACTCTATATCTCTACTGCTTTAAAATAAAAATATATAACGGAAAAAGGCTAAAATTAGCAGAAAAGTAGCTAAAAATGCTCAATTTAGCAGTAAGAAGCTGAAAGGAGCAGAAATAAAGCCTACTGTAAATGAGCAAAAAGAAGCTGAAAGCAGTTAAAGGAATCTAAAATTAATACCAACGAGCTGAAAAAGCTGAACCAGAACAAAAGCTGAAATAAGCACAAAGGTTTGAAGGATGTCAAGAGAGCTCCACTCATTTTTTAATAAGGAAAACGTGGCAGAAAAAGCTAAATAAATCAAAAGGTAAAAATTGCACAAATACCAAAAGTCACAGCAGGAATTTCCTGAACGAGCTGAACGTTTTCATGTATGAATTGTTGAAATAGCACAAACATTGCTGAGCGAGTTGCCTGACGAAAAACGTACAGAAGAATATTTTCTCTCAAGAGTGGAAACGATTTAGAAACATTCACACAATAAACTGATTCTAGGTCCTGTTTAACAATCATACCAATGCCATATTGAAACATTTCTGTATATTTTCTGTATTTAAAATACTTTTAAGCATTTTATTTTTGCACAAGGCCAATAATTTGCAGCCATGCTAGCCCAGTTAGATCTGTGATCCACAATGTTTAAAACAATAGTAGGGTTCAAAGGTTTCTCTTTAACAGAGGCCTCCCAAAGTTAAGTTTTGCCAAATAAAAGACACAAGAGTAGCTCTGTTAAAGAGCAGTGCACAAATGATTTCAAGATATCCTGAAAGCAGCAGGGCCGTATTTACTTTAAACTCTCAACACGGTGTAGTAGATTATAGTTTTAGTGTTAACGGAAAGTTAATGGACTGTTTACACAGATGGTGTGCTTCTATAGAGTCACAAGACTGTACTCTGAAGCATGGGGCTACACAAAAACTACCAAATATAATAAAGAGGTTTTGCAATACTTTAATTTGGATTAAAGCAGTAATTCCACTAACAGAAAATCAACCACATGTTGCATTAACTTGAGTCACGCCAGTGGTCATGACTAACAGCTGCTCCTTCTGTTCTTCCTCTCTGTCCCTACACACTTCAGTATGTGTGGAGAAAAGTCACAAGATTTAAGGAAGTCCCCGTGAGCTGCGTGGTGGTTTTTATTCTCTGTGTGTGAGTGTATGTGTGCAGGTTGTTCCTGCGGTGGAAAAACAGACCCCGGTGTTCAGTTCTTTTTCCTGGCTTGAGCTCGTCTGTTTCCTGCACTCCTCACTCAGGCTCCTCTGTCCGTCCGAGTTCAGCACACCGCCGTCTGTTTCTGCAGCACAGTGCAGTCGTGTCTGTTGTGTGCAAGTCACCTCGTGCTGGATACACATTCTGTCGCTCGTAGTGTCAGAGACCCACGTTAAAGATTAAGTGTGTCTGTTTGTGCCAGGGCGGTTGGGAGAATAGGAAAAAGAGACGCCTAAATGAAATTCTGGAAGAACTTCCTGCTGACGAGTGTTTTCTGACGTCTTTCTCAGCACAATTCACACACACCTGGACCACACACACAGTTACACACACACAGTTACACATCTCGTTTCTGCCTCAGGCTATCTGTCAAGGTCTCAGTGTCGCACTCTGTAATGAGATTATACTCGTGGGTAAAGACATACACATGAAGTCTAAAACACAAGGACGCACACCTGTCGAGGCGCAGAAAGACCTTCGTAATGTACGAACATCAGTCACATGTGAGTCGCTCTGATTGTTTTTATCTGAAGTTTATTTTTTCAATCACTACAAAAGCCAAAGGTGGTGTCTTAATATTGTGATCAGTAGTTTATTGACCCAAAGAAAACACAAAAACCTCTCGCAGGTTTAGCGCTGTGAAAGTACTCGTCATTTGACACTTGTGTCCCGGAGGACTCGTCTCACAACGTGTCCTTCACCTGTTTGTGGTGCAGACTTTAAAGATGATTGTTCCCTCTGACCATCAGTCATAATATTTATTGTGTGAAACGTGCATCTTTTTTTAAATGAACTATTCTTACTGGATCTTACCAGGGCATGTTAGGGCCATTCTTAGTACAATTTACAAACAGAAGGTGGTGGACTCAAATTTCAACTAAAATGTAACATTGGGGGGAAAGTTTTTGAATATTTTCTTATGTTGGAAAGTCTTAAATTTGCAAGAAATATATATATATATATTTTTATGATTGTAACAGAATTTTATAAAATGAAAACTTATATTCTCTGATGCTGTATAGTTGTAAATTTGCAAAAAGAAGAAATAAATACTGGAAATTGTCATATAATACATTAAAGTCAAAGATTGTTAAATTATACTTTTTTTTTTTTTATTAATATTGTAACTAAATCCTAACCAATATGGATAATTGGGCCATCGCCGATACCGATATGGAGGGTGGGGCTTAATGTCAATAACTGATATATTTGCTGAAACTTTTTTTAGCTTTGTCTACCTGCAAAAATCTAAGTAGACGGCTACTTATAAACCTGTTTTAACACTTGAAGTCTTGAAACGGTCTTCTTAACGTGCGTTCACATTTTCTGTCCTCCACTATTCACCGTAAAGTTATCAAGTGTGTTACATTAATGTAAATTAAACAAAGAAACACCCTTCTCTGTTCAGCAGTCAGTCATGTATGGTGAAGGTCTAATTAGTATTGATCGCAGCAGCATTTTTTTTTCTTTGCAGATAAGTAAAGATTTCAGACAAACAGTGCATTTCACTGAGGATGACAAAGATAACGTTACTAACGCTGATATATACTTTACCGCTACGTTAGATTTATTGTTCAGGCTAAAGTTTTACAAGGCAGTGTCCTATGCTAGGTTATCTAAACATTAGCTTGCTAACTTGAGAGGCATGTAGCTAATGACAAGCAGGTTAGAGGATTGAAGGTAATTTGTTATTGTTAATTTTTTTTATTTTATTTTACAGATCAGTTGCAATAAACGTACCATGCTCTGTTCAGCAAAATATGCTACACAGTATTTAGTTGCTTCCTGCTTCGGCTGTGCTGTGAGTCAAGCGTGCAGCACGGTCATGACTTGAAAGTAGTTTATCTGCGCCCTCTGCTGGAGACATTGTACAATTACACTATTTGCAAGTAAGGACACGGCTTGTTCGCAACATTTTAGAGGTGAAAATAAGAAGTGTTTAGATCAGCGCATAATGGGCCAATTATCACAGATACTGATCTTCTAGAATTGCGCCGCTCAAGGTGGCTGCATGTTGGAGCAGCTCTGTTTCTTTCATTCTGAGATTTTGCTTTTGGAAACTTTAATTCCTCTTTTTCTGGGTGTAAATTACATTTTTTGGATGAATGTTTCCTCTGGTATCAGATGCTGTGCAGCTGGAAGGATTTTTACTGAGACCTTTTTGGTTTTGGACATTTGTTATGATGCGTAACCATGGCAACAAGGCAGTTTTCTACAACCAACAACATCAGCTGATTAACATCTCAAAAGCTCAAATAATATCTTAACTATGGCCCCAACTCTCAAATGAGTTGAAAAGGATGTTATGTGGACGCATTCTCATCTACCTGCCAGCTGTGCTCGAGTGCCTGACCACTGAGATCCTGGAACTAGCAGGAAACACGGCTCACGACAGCAGAAGGACAGGATCGTCCATCAGCACCTACAGTTGGCTGTCCGCAGTGATGAGGAGCTCGGCAAAATGCTGGGAGGAGTTGCCATCGCTCTGGGAGGAGTTCTGCTGGCATTCAGGCGGTCCTAAAGCCTGGGGGAACTGAGAGGCCAGCTGAGTCTGGGTGGACGGATCGGACGGCATCTGCAGCCAGTTTCTTAGGATCCACTGTGGGATGGACCTTTACAAGAGATCCTTCCTGTCTACAGCCATCAGCATCTGTAACATCTCTTAATGAAATGAGGATAACGAGTTACAACAACAAATAATTTCCCTTTGGGATTAATAAAGTATTTTTGAATTGAATTGAATTGAATTGAATTGAATTGGTCCCCAAACGCTTATATCAGCCTAAATCAGTCGGACTCTAGTTGTAACGTTCCAAAAGGGGCATTGGCAGTGCATCAGGGCTACATCAGGCAGGCTGTGCTGACACAAGTGAAGTTTGAGGGTAATGAGTTGTGTTAACGCTAAGGTCCTTGTTTTGCCTGGTTACAAACCACCTCAGTTAGCTGACCTCACAACTAATACCAGTCATGTTTGTTTCTGTGTCATACACAGCCTGCAGAGAGACACTTTTATGCCTATTGTTTAAATGTTGCACTGTACATAATAAACATTCTTGTTTGTAAGTTTTAAATTAAACTTTTCAACTGTTAGAGTTATCCTTTTATCATGCTAAGACCCCCGGTCTTGTCTGCACAAAGTAGGACTAGTTTCTGGCCTGGTTTTGTACAGATGAGACAGGCCCAGCTGCTGTGAGTGAGCTTCCCATGGTCAACACCCGATAAGGAGTAATGTTTTATTTTGCTGGCTTTCACCACGTAGATAAAGTGCACTTTCTTCCATTTTTCACCATCTGAAACAAATAAGGCCGATGAGGTCACATATAGTCACCCCACTGATACACTCTGATAGGCTGTGCTCCCAGAAGTGAAGGCGGAGCCAAGGGCCAGTATAAGCTGTGCCGTTCTGTGAACCGGGGTGTCCACTTCCGGGTTAAGACGAGTCTGACGAACACCTCAGCGCTGAGCTTGTAAGTTTTCCTGCTTTATCGACATTAAATGGTAAACTGAATTTACGTCTCTTGATTTTACCGAGTTCATGTGAGTCTCCTCCCCACCTGGGGAAAAAAAGAGAGCCAGGCGCCAGGGGTAGAGAGTCGGACCCGGGCAGATTCTGCACAACCTAAGAAAAACAAATTTACATGAAATTGTGACATTAATGTTAGAATTTCTAAGATTTATCTCAGAATTTTCCAGCACCAACCATCTCCATCTTCTACGGCTTATTCGTAGTCGAGTCAAGGAGGCAACAGGTCCAGGAGAAATGCAGACCTCCCTCTCCCCAGAGACGCTCTCCAGCTCCTCTTGGGGAACCCCAAGGTGTTCCTGGGCCAGATAAGATACACAATTCATCCACTGAGTTCTGGGTCTGCCCTGGGGCCTCTTACTAGTGGGTCTGCCTGTAAAACCTCCAAAGAGAGGCGTCCAAGGAGGCATCCTAATCAGATGAACCTCTTCAACTGACTTCTTTCGATGCGAAGGAGCAGCAGCTCTACTCCGAGCTCCCTCCAGATGAAGGAGCTACTCACCTTATCACAAATGCTGAGCCCAGCCACCCTACGAAGGAAGCTCATTTCATCCGCTTGTATCCAGGATCTCGTTCTTTCGGTCTTGATCCAAACCTCATGACCACAGGTGAGGGTTGGAACATAGACAGACCAGTAAATCCAGAGCTTTGCTTTTTGGCTCTGCTCTTTCTTCACTGCTCCATCCATCTTGTTTTTCATCCTACCATCATTCGTGAACAAGACACAGAAATTTAAACTCCTCCACCTGAGGCAAAGACTCTCCAGACTCATAGCAACTTCTTCCATTGGATCTGTTTGCAGGATTTTCTCGGCTTCAAAGCCATGTTGGCGAATAAATAACATTCATAACTTTAGCAGAAATATATTGGGGGGGGGGAACGAGCCTTCAGTGGATAGATTACCGTCTTATTGGGCATTTAGCTCAACGATTGCTCTGGCTTGAAGGCTATTTGTGTAGTTTCTTTCTGACCTGTCTACAAGCTGATCACGTTGTGCCTCGTCTGTTTGCCTCCTCGTCTTCAGGTTACACTCTCCTTCTCTGTTCTGCAGCTTCTTCTCTTTTATGCTTTGTTCATCCTGTCAGCAAGGTCAGAGTAGTCTGTTCCTTCATTACAGCTGTCCTCTCTGACTCACGCCAGATATTTATTTTCTGTCTCTTTCCCACAGACTGGTCCTCTCGTCTGTGTCAGACTACTTTGCAGCCATGTTCACCAGCGATGTGCGGGAGGCCAAGCAGGACGAGGTGAAGATGGAAGGTGTAGACCCTGAGGCGTTGTGGGTCCTGGTTCAGTATGCTTACACAGGTGCACACACATTTACTTACTTATAGACTTGGACTCTTAAGACATACCTACGTGTAATTGTTACTCATTTTCAAGATTTTTATACACCTGTCAAAGACTGATGTATTATGGTATATAGGCCTGTTGCGATAAACAATAAATCAATTAATCGCATGATAAATGAAAATTATCAACCACATTTTCATTTATCGGCTTTATTGTTTCTTCGTGTCTCTCTCTTTCTACTGAAGACACTGGATGACAAAAAGCTCAACTCCGGTGCTCTTCACTGACCCCTCCCTTTCTCTTTTCTCTTTAAAATATGTTTTTGGATCGTTAAAAGCAGCTAAGCTGAGAAGCTAAGCTACGAGCTAAGCTAACAGGCTGACCTCAGGATTAAAACCTCAGTCTAGCTCCAAAATTCATGGTTGAACCCTGTGCCTTCATGTAAAAAGTTGTTTTTCTCTGCAAAAAGAAGCTGAGAGCTTTTTTAATTATTTTTTAAATTAAAAGCTTTGTGTGAAAAATGTTATGTTAAAGAGCTCAAACCACACAGAGCATCCATGCCCATGTCACGTCAAGAGGCCTCCCATTTTTCTTAGAGACACGCTGCTCGCTCCCTCACTATCCATCCTTCGTTTCAAACAGCCTTATACTACCATCCGATGGCTGAAAAAAGATACTACATGTTAAACAAATAAACATATCCTTAAATTTAACAATAATTATTAATTATTGTCAAATTTCAAACAATATTATCATTTATCACAATAATTTCTAAGACAGTTGTCCAGCAAAATTTGTTATCGTGACAGCCCTAACAATATAGTCTCCTAATGTTTGTTAGTAAACTTTCTCTTGTCCCGTCCATAACTTCTGATCCCTTGAAGATAATTTAACAAACCTTCTTTCAAATATGTACTGTGATTTCATCACTCCAGGTCCAAGGTCAAGGTCACAAATCAAGGTCAAATTTTATACTGCTTCTCTGCTTCTCCAAGCCATTGCTACGTATTGACGGGTGAATAATGTGCCGTATGGGATGCTCTTGTTTAAATATAGAATAAAGTTTGACTAAAACTGTACATTTTTTAGTAGCTTAAAGTTAGAGAATTACAGAAACCACCTCCTTTAGTTTTTTTATTTTTCTATTAAGAACTTAAACGCTGATTTTGTTTATGAATTTACTCATAAAATTGGCATCTTCACCTGTGTTAAATTGGCTTGTCGAACCAAAAACAAACAGGAAAACAGAAACGTTTAGAGAATTTTTGTCCCGTTTTTAAATAAAAAAGCTGGACATATTTTCTTGTTTAAATAGAACTAATATATAATACCTATATATATATATATATATATATATATACTAATAACTAGTGGTTTAAAATAAAGCCAGGTAGATTAAGCTGCTGGATTTCTAACAGGGTTGATTATTAGTATTTTAAGATAATTGATATCACTTGATTTTATCTACCTTTTTTTTTTATTAATGTAAATAAACCCGCAGCGCAAGAAGCCTTTGTGTAATGATTTTTATTACCTGAAGACGTGTTTTGTTAATGTTTTTGATTTATAAAATGCACAATTTAACCTGAAAAAGGCACATCTGCTGTATGTGAGCGAGGGTACTTAGAGTTTTTTTCCTCTACCTACGTTTATTAAAATGAAACATTACAGAAAGATAATCCAGACTTCAGAACAGATGTATCTTCTTGAAACACAACATGTAGACATTATTGTATTCAATTAAGGCTCAACAGTCCCGTGTATCATTTGTAATATTAAATGATGATGATTTATCAGACGCTTTATTCTCTTTCTCTTTACTGGACCTAGCTGTAATTTGTTCTTTAAGTTCTTGTGTTGAGACAGTAATTATAATCCCACTAGTAATGCAGACCATACAAAACAATGCAAAGTATTATGTGTGTATTTATGTAATTGTCATGGTCTAACCCATGTCCTCCTCTACTGTTGTCCAGGCCGTCTTGAGTTAAAGGAGGACACCATTGAGTCTCTGTTATCTGCCTCCTGCCTGCTGCAGCTGTCCTCTGTGGTCCAAGCCTGCTGCTCCTTTCTGGTGAAGCAGCTCCACCCCTCTAACTGTTTAGGCATCCGCTCCTACGCTGATGCTCAGGGTTGCCACGACCTGCAGAGGGCTGCGCACGCCTACACCATGGTGGGTAAATGAGGCCACTTTACATGATCTGTAGACACTCACTGCGTCTGTAGTCATGTCAAGAAAATTAAAGAATCATTGGTCTCTGGAAATGTAGATCAACTCACACAAGTTTTACTCCAAGGTCTCCAGTCGCTGAGGGATTTGAATAGTGGATGTTTGTAGTTTCTGAATGTTTTTCTGGACTGGAATTGAACAGGGAATGCAAGTAAACCTTAATGTTTTTTGGGTCAGGGTATTCAAGGAGTTACACTGTGGAGAAGAACAGAGGTAGTTTTTATTTTCCTTGTCTGCGGCAGTGGATCGTGACTGATCCTTGAGAGTGGAGGGAGCAATTTTATCCACCACCAGGTGCAATGCTGGAGCCAGGGGGTGGCTAATGGTGACCTTGACCCCACAGTTAGTGAGGATCCACAACCTCTCCTCCTCCACCATAACCCTCAGCACTGGCTCTCCTCAGGGATGTGTGTTGAGCCCCCTCCTGTTTACTCTGCTCACGTATGATTGTGCAGCTACCCATCCAGGCGGTCACATTGTAAACTTTGCAGATGATACAGCGGTGGTGGGATGCATCACAAACAATGATGAGTCCAGCTACAGGCAAAAGGTGGAACACCTGGAGAGCTGGTGCAAAGAGAATAACCTTCACATCAATGTGAAGAAGACAAAGGAGATGATTGTGGACTTTAGAAGGAAAAAAAACATCTACACCCCCCTGAACATAAGAGGATCTGCGGTGGAAGTGGTCTCCAGCTATAAGTACTTGGGTGTACACATGAATGACAACCTCAGCTGGAGCAACAACACCACCAGCCTGATCAAGAAAGCTCATCAGAGACTCTACTTCCTCAGACGGCTGAGGCGAGCTGGTCTGGGAAGCTCAGTCCTCACCTCCTTCTACAGGTGTGCAGTGGAGAGCATCCTGTGCTCCAGCATCAACGTGTGGCATGGAGGCTGCACAGCTGCAGAAAGAAGAGCTTTGCAGAGAGTGGTGAAGGCTGCACAGAAGATGTTGGAATCAGCCTCCCCACCATCACAGACATCTACACCTCCAGATGCAGGAAGAGGGCCACCTGCATCATGAAGGACCCCACTCACCCAGCACACACACTTTTTGCCCCACTCCCCTCAGGAAGGAGGTTAAGGAGCATTAAGTGTAAAACCAGTAGACTGAGGAACAGCTTCTACCCTGAGGCTGTTAGACTCATGAATCTCTAACTAGAATAATCACTGAAAAACCATATCATGTTGCTGCTGATTTGTTTCATGTTGCTGCTGATTTGTTTCATGTTGCTACTGATCTGTTTCAATGTTGATGTTTTCATGCGTGCACATCTGCTCACAGACTCATGTTCATGTTTGTGCTGATGTTCAATGTTTTATGTTATGAGTGCTTAGTGTATATTTACTTGATGTTTTTCTTAGTTCATATCTTAGATGTTATTACTGTTTTTCTTATACATTTTATTGTTGGATGTTACTGGGACCTTGTGTACATAATTTCGCTCCACCACATGTACCACATGAGGTGCGAATGACAATAAAGAAACTCTGACTCTGACTCTGACTGATAAAGTAATCTTCAGCCACCCCAATCATTTGAGGAAACAACACCTTTAAGCAATTTAAAAACTAGAAAGCATTGTTTCCTCAAATGATCGGGGTGGCAGGTATACATATATACTATATATATATGGTGGTGACCACAACAAAATGGAAGTTGCTTACCTCCCTCCCTCCCATACTTCCTTCCTCCAAATTATCTAGCTCACAAGATGGACTGAGAGTACTTCTAAGTCCCCTCTTTGCTCCTTGACGGGGGAAAAAATGTCCTCTGACAATGACAACGCAGACAACAGCTTATGGTGGTACTTACACTAAACGTTAACTAACAGATGCCTTTCTCTCGTTCTTTTTCCGTCTGTTCTGCCTTCCCTACGAACATTTCAGTCAGTGTTTAGTCCCGATCTGCTCCCTTTAACAAATCAGCTTCTTATTCAAAGCGCATCACACACCATTACAGCCACAATAGATGTTTTTCAGCACAGAGTTGCTATGGCGACGATTAAAAAAGAGCACCCTCGTTGTCTTGATTATTTTTCTCCATCTAATTCATTTCTGTCTTTTAAATGTCTTATTTGCATTTAAAGACATGTTGTGCTCATCTGTGTTAGTCTTTCTCTAAGTGGGTTTCTGTTAGGGTTTGATCAGGGTTAATTGGGCTGTGAACATGGTTTTATTTTGTTCTTACCATCTTTTTTTATATGTTCATCTAGCCTTATAAATAATTCTCATCCGAACTCTTTTACATTTTTTTGTAATTAAAAACATCTTAATAAGGAATTTTATTTCCTTCCATCTTCGTAGCTTCTTAACCAATTCCTAACTGCACTCTTACATCTTGTAGTTTTTATTTCTCTTGCTTCTCTTTCTGTAGTACTCTGTCAAATATTTATCTTTGACGCTCTTCTTAACCCTTTCATCACCCAGTTTCACCACCTTTTCCCCCACAGGAACACTTTCTGGAGGTAGTTGGAAGCCAGGAGTTTGTTTTACTCCCGGTGGAGGAGATGGAGCGGCTGCTGACATCTGATGACATCAACGTGCCTGATGAAGAAACCGTAGTGACCTCTTTGCTTAGTTGGGTCAGACACGATCCCTCTGCTCGGCAGGGCCACCTGCCGTCGCTGCTGGCTCACGTCAGACTGCCGCTGCTGCAGCCGCAGGTGAGAGCTGCAAGAAACTCATAAACACAAACGGTTTAAACGTGTCCGATAGGGGTGAGCGAAGGACTAAAGCCTGCTGATGACCTGCCAGAGCTAAGGCATCGCAGGATTCGATTATAAGGCACATTCTTCACATTTAAAGCTTCTTTTAGCCAATACTGATGGCAAAACTTAAGTTGGTAATGACCAGACCTGACCTAGTGAAAACGAGCAGTATTTTGATGTCCTCCATCGCTAAAGCATCTGAATGAGCGTTTGTGGTTTTTGGAGATGACCTTAATGCTGGCGCTAGAGAAACTGCTATCAGCCAGTCATAACAAACTACAATCAAGATTTCTCATTCAAACTGCAGCAGAAAACTGAAACTGAAGCCAAAACGAAGTAGTATGTTGCTAAAACGACACAATCTGTGTTTATCTTAAAGTGTGCTCAGTCAAGGTTTGCACGTCTGATGGCAACACGACAAACTTCAACAACTCTTTAACAAAAAGTTTAAAACTTCTGGGTTTTATTATTCAGTCAGGATTTTCACATACGATTACAATTTGATTTTCTTTGCTCCAGAGGTGACCACAGTTTACATCCAAGTTTACATTTTTATTTCGTATTTTTCCACAATATGCTTACTATTTTCTCTTAAGAGATAAAAAAAATATTACCGGAACAACGTAATTGTTTTATTTTATATTTTGCCTACGCTTCCAAATCTCCCCACTTTTTCTCAATTCATGTCATTTAAATGCCAATCTTTGTAGTGAAAGACTACATGTAAAGAAGATATATGGTATGTTTTGTATTATTTTTAAATGTACAGGTGAAAAGAAAACCTTTCTATAATATGTTCTTGCCTATTGCTTTTGAAAAGGTGGCATTCGTTCCGGTGAAGACGTTCTGTTACTTTTTGCTGCCTCTCTGGTTTGTTTTCTTCTTGTAACTTTGATTTTTGGAGCTACTTCAAAAGTATATTTTAGGATTTCATCATGTTTTCAGTTCTGCCTGAATATTTTTCCCTTTCTACTGTAAACTAAACTAAACATAGATACAACTTTGACAGTGTTTACATGACATCCAGTGTAGCGTTCACCATCGAGATCTGTGGTTACTGAGAACTCATCCCCACACTTTGTACAAGTCAGCTTGTAGCTGGTTGTGATATAATGAGGTGGTGTTTTTAGCAATAATAATTAGGATAAAAATGGTACTAGCATGGAATGAATGTCCTTGTTTTAGTTATAGAATTCTAGATCAGCTAGATAAAAAACAATTTGTATATTTTCACAAAAATGAACTGGAAACTAATAGCAGCTCAGTTTTATGCAGTGTACACGTTGACCTCCTTTCCTTTCCTCCTTCCTTAACATCAGTGATTGTTTTTCTGTGCTATAACCACATAAATATTGTAGAGCTGTTTTTGTGCAAGCTGTCCATGTCTCATATATTGAACACAACACGAAGAGTCGTCTTCCTCCTGAGCTGCAGAGTGGTTTTCTTGGCCCGATTTATTTGGTGTTCTTTTGTTCATCTTCTGGTTATAGCCAGGGCTGCACATTTTATCCAAAGAAATATTAAAATGGCAGTATCAGAGCATACAATTTTAGTATAGCTAAGGATTTTTTTTAAAATTGAATGCGTCCAACGCAAATTTGACAATCCGATTGCTGTGAACTTTGTAATGACAGAACATGTGGGTTATTTTCATTGCAATATTCTACAATAAATATACAAAATATTCTAATATTATATATAATATATATATATATATAGAAATATTATGAATAATAATAATATAATCAATATAAAACAAAACTATTGTAATTGTTTTGTCCTAATATTGTGTAACGTGAAACACAACATCTTTTCAACCACATTCAAGATGTTCACCGCAGCTATTTAACTTGAAAAACAAAAATGGCTGTAAGTCGACCAATTTTAAAACTACTGACATCAAATTTGTATTGGTTGTAGCTGAGCATTTTCTTCAACACATACTCTGAAGTACTTCGCTTAGTAATAAAGTTCATGCTCAATCATCCAGGTATCAAATCCAATATTCTAGTGCAACATGTTTGCTTAAAACTTAACCTTTGACCATTAGAGTCCATTGTGTCTTGTCTGATAGCAAAATGTCTTAATATGCATTCCTTCAAGAACTTCTAGGCCTTTAATCCTTTTCTGTCTTGTAACCAAATCTGCTGCTGAAAAGGTAAAATTGTCAAAGTTTCTCCATCGTACCTGCAATAAATCTCCCTGTTCTTGACTTGTTAAGTATACCGTGGATAGATGATTGACTCTGCCCCGGTCAGCTAAAATAAAACCACAAGTAGCAGTAACATGTAATCAGGAGGGGAAGATGGATGACAAGGAGGTAATGCAGCCGAATGGCCCTGGAGAAGAGAAACCAGAAGCCACGGAGACTCAGAGCTGCGGGTTGATTCTACCCTCAACACAAACCACACTATGTGTAACGCCCCCCTCGCCTCTCTCTCTGTCAAACTGATAGATGAATTAACATTCAGCAACCTCATGAGCTGTGAAATGCCAATAAAGTGAAATATAAACCTCACACACGCAGCAGATCAATACTCATCAACCAATTAGTCGGCTTTTTATCTGGCCTACCATGTGATTACTCATCTAGATTGTGTCAATTCACCAGATTAATACCTTTAATCCCCGCTCCTCATCACCAGTGTCACATAAACGGAGACGTACAGGCGTGATCTAATCTTCTCAGAGGACCATCTGCGGCGTGGCGCACCAGGCTGTTGTGTGAACGGTTTGTGGCGAGCTGCACGTGGGCGTTAATCTAGCTGTAGCGTCCGAGAAATGGGTAAATACAAAATGTGTAAAAGTACAATAAAGCTGTGCAGAATGTTGGATTTGGAAATTTGGAGAAAGTGGAGGAACTTCTACCCACGGTGTTAGTGATGATTAGTGGTGTTCGTTTTATTTTTACTTAGCTGAATTGATAAAACATTTAGGTGTCTCTGAGTCATTGGTTATTCTGCTTTGGAGGCTAAACAGAGCGCCGATACCTGCTAACATTTTAACATGGAGTACAAATGTACTCTGATTGCTCTGAGTCTCTTGGAGGGACTTAACAATTTTTTTTTCTCCCAGCCCATGAATGCACCAGAGCCGCAAGTTTTAATTTCAGTTCAATTCAATATATAGATACATATAGACATATAAATATATAAAAATATGCCTGTACGTCTC